CCTGATTTGGTGAACTCGAGAAGGTGGGAAGAACTTCATGGTGAACTTTTGAATCATATCATTCCATGATTGTATGCTTTCTGGAGATAAATAGAGGAACCATTCTCTTGCGACATCCTTCAAGGTTTGAGAGAATAATCGCAATCGGAATGCATTTGCGGATATCCCTTCATGACTAATAACTTCACATAACATGAGAAAAGATGAAATATGTTCATCAGGATTCTCCTTGGATTTTTCGAGAAATCGGATGTCTTGATGATTTTGAAAAAGATTTATTACATCCGATTTAAGGTGAAAGTTAGGTTGGTCGAAGGGAGGATATACTATAGCGGGTTGCATTGGTGTAGGAACTAGATTTACATAATCCCCAACTAAAATAGGAGCTACATTTTGGATGGCTCTCTGTTGATCTGAACCAGATTCTATGGTTAATTTTGATTATCAGTCATTCTCCTTGCATGACGTTGTTCTCTTCTGTGATTTCTGAATGTACTTTCGATTTCGTGATCAATTGAAGTTAGATCAACCTCGTCAGGAGCTTGCATAAACCAAGTTCGGTTGAAAAGAGTCAAAATATAAGAGAATTAAGTAGTGTAATAATAGCCTAAAAACAACAAAAATAACAATGAAAACAAATCTAAAATATCAATAACTAAAATTAACACTGTTATTCCCCAACAAAGGCGCCAAAAACTTTTACATTAAAATCCCGCAAGCGTATGAGTTCGTTGTACAAGTAATAATCGTGATGATTGAGTTATCTTCCCACAGGGAATATGATTAGTTTGTATCAAGTACGTTTTATAATTATGAAAGCAATAAACACTGGTTTAAATTAAATGCGACGAATGTATTGGATTTCCGACTTCACTAATCAATTCTTAATTTCAATCCTCAACTTGTGACCGTTAATTCAATTCATGCAATTGTGACGATATTATTTCTAGTCCACATTCATATGATAAATATACATTGAAGTGTATGATTATCACACACAACTGCACAATTTATAAATATTATTCCTAATATTTGTTATTCATGTGTTCTATAAATAATGTTCTACCGACCGTGAGTTTTCCAACACTACAAATAATTACGTTAATGGTGCGCAAGCATTAAAACAATATGAGCATGCATGTTTATGGAATCATAACACAAGAATTAAACTAAAAATACCAAATCTTGAATTAGAAACTAAGAATCAAAGAGTTTTGTCGTACATTAGCCTAGCATATTAATGTAAGAATTACACAGAAAATAAAAGGAAGTCATCACCCGAATAATTGAAACATGAAGAAAATCTGGAAATCTTCAATTCAAGCTTTCAAATCTAGATCCAAGTAATGAATTCTTCATTTTTCGATGCAAATTCTCTCTCTTTTTCTTCTAAAATTCGGTTCCCTTGAATTATTACCAAAATGAAATAAAGAAATTTAGATTTTTTTATCATGTAATAGTGAGGTGCGCGCCTAGATTGCACTAGACGCATGCCTTAGGATTTTAGACAGTCTTAGGTGAGGCTGCATTGGTCTAGGGCGTGTGCCTCACCTTGTTGCCCTTTTTGGGGCCAAGTTCACTAAACTTTCTCCGAGCTTTTTTTAGTCCTTCTTCAATTCTCTCCAATCATTTCGCCTCTTTTTTTTGTCCAATTGAATCATTGCGTTGTCGACTTTTCGTTTCTCGCTCCAAGCCTACTTTTGATTATTTGCATTTTAATCCCCAAATTTTCTTTTAGCTTCAGTTTACCCCTCTTCTTGTTCATTTTCTCAAATTCCATTGTATTCATCGATGTAAACCTAAAACACAAAATAAACAATGAATTTAGCTATATTTCAATCCAAATATCAATGTTTTGACGTTCTCAATAGGTGTATAAAATACACTTATCAGTGTGTATACTTTTGTAGTTATTGATACAATCATGCAAATTCTTGTGTAAGCCTACTTATAAGTAGGCTTTATAAGAATTCGTGTTCGAGAGATGTGATTTATTTTTTGACAAAGATATTTCGATATTATTGTAGGAAGATAATGTTGCATCGTGCATGAATAGCTCAATTCAAATGAGGGTTTATTAAATGAGAACATATTTCATCGAAAATCTTCTTCATGACATTGATGTTCAACAAATCTATTCAAATGATAATCTAGCTGACTTGTTTACAAAAGCATTACTTGCTGTGAGTGCGTTCGTTTAAAGATCTCATCAATGAGTGAGAATAAAATAATTATTGTTCTATTTTTTCTTTGATCAATATTTTATTTCAATGTATTTTTCTGACAAGATTTCTAATGATGCATCATTCATTGCATATTCACAAGAATGATGTATTCATTTTCCTTCATTCAATCTTTCTTCGTACATGACATTTCATAATGAGATTTTAACAAGACATAAAAATCCAAAAGAGAATTAACAAAATAATAATCTAAAATTTACCAAAAAATTGGAGTGAGTGATGGCAGACAGAGAGTTGTTGTTGGCCGATGTGGACCCCGAAACACGCGATGCAACCAGGTGTAGTTATTAATGGGCATTTAGCATATTTTAGCAAAGCCAACAAATAATAAAATCCCAACTCACCACCTTTTGTCCTCTTCTCTCTCTAACCGCCGACGCCATTTTTTTTTTCTCACTAATAATAATAATATTTGGAGTCAGCATCCGACCTGGATTACCTATACAACTACTTAGCCAATCAATCAATAAGGGCCCGTTTGGTATCAATTTTCATTTTCTACATTAAATCAATTCTCATTTTTAACCACACATTCTTCAATAAAATAATATTTTCCATCACATCAATACTTTTTTCTTCTTTTTCAACCACACATTTCCCATCATATCACTTTTCAAAAATCAATTCTTCTCCCAAAAATCCCTACCAAACACACTCTAAATATTATTACTTTTTACTTTATTGTGTATAATATAATTTTCATTGTCTTAGTAAAGAAATTTCATTTCTCGTCCTCGGGTCAAGCAAACATATCTCACTTTTCCTTACTCTTTGGAGGCTCATCTATACCTTTTTCTTTTCAATTTTTGATGAGCCAAGCCAACGTCTTTTTATCTTGCAGTTCTTTGAAGACATATTTAATATGCTAATATTATACATAAAAAGTCTATATTCAAAAGTAATTTTAATTTATTTCTTTCTTTTAAAATTGTGTAAATACTCCAATCGTGATTGTCTGAGTTTAACTTATTTTTCATTTTTCGGTATTGATTTTGTACCTAAATAATAAAAAATTCTTACTATTCAACTACAAAATCATATTTGAAAACTTCTCAAATTCCTAACTTTATGAAGGCTCGTGTATCTAATTGATCAATTATTAACATCATGAATACTGATCATCGCATTCAAAATTGAAACGATAATTTTATTTCATTGAGAGAAATAAATTTGTTAAAAATTAAAGACATACAAAATTTGTTTAGGTCGCCTCAATTTTAAACTACATTCTATTTCGTTATTGCAATAATTCATTAGGATGAAAAATATTTATGAGAAATCGCCCACCTTATCTTCTTTAATTCCTCGCTTACTCTATTTATCTTCTTTAATTCCTCGCTTACTCTCTTTTATGATGGTGATAAAAAAAAAAAAAAATTAATTATGCCTCCCTATTTATAAAATAAATTAGGACAAAATATAATGATGACTCCCTATTTATAAGATAAATTAGGACAAAATGGAAACTTACAAGAATACAAATTCTAAAATCGAAATTTAAAAGAAAAAAGATCCCTAAATTCAAATTTACAAGCACACAAATTTCTTAATCAAATTTTACAATAACACAAATCATAAAGTATCATTTATAAAAATTAGTTCCGAGGGCTTCTGGGAGGGGCTTCCTACCCTCTTTTGAACGCTTATCGCGGAGGTTGATTTGTGCACTGACTCCACAAAACAAAAATTATTAGGTCTCCAAATTTATCACATTGAACACTCGTAAAATAAACAAGACAATCAATGGACAAAATTTTAAAAAGCTTGTACAAGTTTTTCTCTATTCCTCCATTTTTTAGTAAAAAAACTAGGGGTTCATTCAACTAATTTTATTAAGGTGCTTTTGATTGTTAAAATAGCTTTTAGAGAAAGTTAGTTCAACGTGACTGCTTATAAAAGCACTTTAGGAATTTGAGATTTTTTTAAAAATTAGTTTTCAAAAAAAAAAAAAAAATGAATGTAACTTCTTCCAAAAGCTCTTTTACAATAAGTAAAAAAAATAGAGATAAAAATCATATCAAATGACGGGATTTCCTCTTACTATATTCCGAAAAAATCATAACTCAGATGTATTGTTTACACCAATTCATAAGTTAGGTTTATAGTTTGAAAATTTAAAATTCAGGTATATATTTAATTAATTAAATATATTTATTAATTAAATACAATAAAATCATATTTATACAATTAATTGGTCACATATACATAATTATAGGTCACATATTATCAAATTAATTAATCACGAATTATTTAATGGTCACAGATCAAAAAATTTAAAGGTCACAGTTTATTCGTCGGTTATAGATTTCCAAATTAGTCTGTCACGGATTATTTAATGGTCACAGACAAAAAAATTATAGGTCACAATTTATTCTTCTGTCATAGATTTCTAAATTAAATAGTCACAGATTCTTCCACAGTCGCAAATAACCAAATAGTTGGTTACAAATTAATCAAATAATTGACACTGCCACCTCCACCGCACTGCCACTGCCACTGCCACCACTAAATAGCCACAACATAAACACCATCACCACCACCACTACCAACACAAAATAGCCACCACACAAACACCATCACCACCACCAACACAAAACAATCACCACACAAACACCATCACCACCACCACACAGAAAATCGTCCAAACCTACCCCCCAATCGACATATCCACCACCAAAAAATCGCCACCACACAAACACTATCACCACTACCGCACAAAACACCATTCAAACCCACCCACCCACCACAATGTTTCTTATGCTTCGCCTCTTCATTACAACAGCACCAGGGTGGCATCGGCCTGACGGAGTGGGTGGATATGCTTCTCCTCTTCATTACAGCAACTCGCCGAGTGGGTGGATCTGCTTCACCTCTTCATTACAGCAGCACCGCCTCTTCATTACAGTAGCACCAGTGACAGGTGCTCCAAGCGGTGGTCTTGAAGGAGAAAATTTCATATCGAGCTGATGCGCTTCTGCCTCGATCGTCGCCGACGGTGGGCGGTGGTCTTTGAAGGTGGGCGGTGGTCGAAGGTAGGCGTTGGTCGACGGTGGGTAGAGAGAGAGAGAGTGCGAAAATATGAAGAAAAATAGTCAACTGTGGGTAAAGAAAGAGAGAGGGTGGAGATATGAAGAGAAATTGAAGGAAAATGATTTAGAGTTTGTAGATACCTGAATTTTGATTAAAAAAACTTCTCACCTAATTTTTGTACTGAGATTTTCAAATACTTGGATCCGTGTAATTTCCTCATGATATAAACCCACTAATTAAATAGTAAAGGTGGTTCTCTTATAAGGATTCTACACCTGCTCGCACCTGATAAAACTCATAATTGCACATTTGCACCCCAATAAATAGGAAAGTTGATCTGTTTTTAAAAAATAATAAGAAAATGGAATAAACAAAGAAAAAGAAAAGTGTTCATAAAAAAACAGACATACGCCTAAAAAACTTGCAGAGATAGAAAAAAGAGAGATGAGGGTGGATTAAAGATTCTTTCGTCCGTCTCTCGCTCTTCCTTTTTCTATCTGTTTTCTTCTACCTTAACCTCTTCTCCTTCTTTGCTTCCCCTTAGCAAAGAAGAGAAGAGGAGAGAACTTAAATTTTGGGTGCATTCTTACACATACACCTGCAATAGATTGAGACAATAATTGTACGTATTTGTTGGTTTTGAAGCAGTTGTTGTGGGTGGGTTGTTCAGGATAAAGAAGGCAAGAAAGGGAAAATGTTGGTTGCAGACAGTTTTGATTTATGGCAAAAGGATACCTTCTTTTCTGCAGCGGAAGAGGTCCAACAATCTGCCGATATGTAATTGTCTGACAATTATAATTATTTCATCCATTTCTGAATTTTGTCTCTCTTTTTTTCCTTGTATGCTGATCTGGGTTTAATTGATTTTGTGTGATTTTACCTTTTATTTGGTAAATCTTATTTTATTTTTGTTGTTGTTATATAAGGAATTTGAGTTTACTTTCTTTTTATTTCTATTTTGTTGTTTGCTTTGAAAATTAGGGGAGGAGGTTCAATAATTTGATGAAACTTTTTGTGTTTGAATTTCTCCTTTATCCTGTTCTTTTTCTTTTATGTGGGAATGGTTTATTGTGTGTTTTTTCTTATATCTCTTGCTTATTTTTGCAAATTGTATTTATTTAATAATTGAGTAGTTTTGCTTTCGATTTTGTGTTTACTTTCTTGTTCTAATTTGGACATGCGAGGAAACAGGAAAAAAACATAGGAAGTAAATATTTTCGCGGAAAATTGATGAAATACAAGTTCAAATGGACCACAAAAAATAAAAAATAAATAAAGAAAAACCATGGTTCTTGGGAACACAAAATGTTGATTCATCAGTGAAATTAAGTCCTAAATAGCCACTGTCATTGATATATTCTCTTTACTTTTTTGCTTTGGCAGAATGGAATCTGCTTACAGAACATGGCTCAGAGCAAAAAAAGAAGGGATGACAGCTCAAAATTTAGATGAACTTAGTAGAGAGCTTCAAATGGCTTTAGGCACGGCAAAATGGCAGGTTGATGATCTCTTTCATATAACTGACTTTTGTACTTCATTTTAAAATTTCTGGTATCAGTAATTCATTGTATATACACATAATGGACACTGAGTTCATTCTTGTTTTTGGCTTCAATCCCTTTAAAGTTTTTGTCTATTTTTGGGAGAAACGATGTTAGTTTCTGCCTTTTTTTAACACATAACTTTTAGTGTCCTTATGCGTTTACTGTCCCAATTGGTTATTTAGTAGGGAGGTTCTTGAAGTTCGATCTGAATCAAGTTTCTTTGTTTTTTTTTTTCCTTTTCTTTCTTTCTTTTTTTCTTTCTTTATTTTTTTTGTTTTTTTTTTTCCTTTTCTTTCTTTCTTTTTTTCTTTCTTTTTTTTTTTTTTTTTTTGCCTTTTGGTGTTGAATGTTACAATAGCTGGAAGAGTTTGAAAGGGCTGTTAGGTTGAGCTACAGAATTCATGCTGCTGAAGTTACAAAGACCAGACACAGGCAATTTGTTTCTGTTATAGAAGATCAAATTTCCCGTGTAGAAGCAGCATTAAAAGAATCATATAATGTGGATAGAAACCAACACTTTAGCTGGGTAAACTTGAACGAAGAAGAACGTGATGACTTAGCTTTGTTTCTTTCTGGAACTGCCGATAACCCACATACAAAGCTTGGAGAACCAGCAACTAGCCCCTTTAAAGAGAAAAACAATGCTAGAATCAGACTCGATTCTAAAGTTGGTTCCAAGGCACAAATTCCAATTAAGACAAAGGGTTTTGAAGAAATTGTCACTAGTAATGTGGAAGCCAAATGCTTCATAGAGGCAGAAGAGAAAGAAATTCCCGAGACAAGGGACGAACCTAGTTCTCGTAGGGCACGTAATTTACCAGGTGTGAGTGCTTTGGAGATTGTAATTGATATTGACAATGAAGAGAGGAATACATTGGTTGAAGCAACACCCAAAGAGAAGGCGTCCAAACCTTATTTTTGGAGATCAAGGTGTGAAGACCATCCTCAAGCAAAGGGAGGAGTGTTTACTTACACCCAACTGAAGATTCTCAATTTCAAAAATCAGGTTAATACTATGATAGCTCTTAAGATTGTTCTTTTTTCCCCTACTGAAGTTACCAAACTAAAGGAGTTTATGTGAAAAATTTAGATATTAATGTTGTGGTATATGCATCTCTTACCAATGACTATTATTTATTTATTTCCTTTTTTCTGACTTGCAATAAATCTGAACAAGTTTTATCTTTTTTTCTCATGTTTTTAGTCACCATAAACACTGAACCTGCATGTTTCTATGTAAAGGTCTCTTTAATTTTTGACTTTGATTGTTAAGGTGGACTGTCCTTCTAGAGTGTGCACGCTCTTGTGCCTCCTTTGGCTCAATTTCAATAAATTCTTTATCTATAAAAAGATTTTTTGAGTTGGTTTTGCTTATTTAACATCTGGAGCAACTCCACATGTTTTGCAGCTGTTCAAACGAACTCCGAGAAGTCAGAGGCAACAACAAATTTCACCAAAATTGTCTGTCGATTCCATTAGACTCGTACTTGCTTTGATGCTAACCCTTTTCTTAGTTGGTAAGCTCTTTGCTTGTATTATCACTTACTGAAAAGGCTTGTTGGCTGGTGGGAAGATCAAATATATTATGACTAGTTACACATTAGGCTTAAGAAAAAACAGGGATTCTTTGATGTTGAAGAACAGATTTTAATTTATACAAGTTAATAACTTGGTTTTGTGATAATTTATGAATTACATATGCTTGTGACAAGTAGGATAAGTCATAAAAATTATGTGAATTTGTCCTACTATTACTAGTATTATAAAATGACTTTTTAAAGTCGAAATAAACTCGGTTGGATTTCATTTTTTATTAATTTTTTCTTGTTTTGTTTCATTATTGTAAGTGGATTTATTCATAATTTTTCTTTTTTTTTTTTTTAATTCATTCAAGAAATTAATTTTTTGTTCATTCTACAATATTAATTACAGATGAAAATATATTTGTGATATTCTTTCAATGAATTTTTTTAGAAAAGGGATGATTTACAAATTAATCGAGCATTTCTTCTTTTTAATATTTTAGCATTTTAACTTGTTTTGTTAATACTAATATTTATTCTTGGAGTTACTTTCTTTTCCCCTCTTTTATAATTTTTTCTATTTGATTTTCATCAGCTACCTTGTTCTTTTTTTCCTGTCAATGAAGAACTTGTCCTTCTTGGAGATGCATTTTGACTAAATGATTCGTGAATCATCTGATTGGTAATTATGGGATCTGTTTCCTGTTTACTTTCACTCTATTCACGTACTTCTGCTTCTCTTGATCGAAATAAGAGTATTAGATTTGTTTCTTTTGAAAATTTTTGAAGTAATTTTAGTCGTCCTTCTAAAATTTTTTGAAGTAGAATACTTTTCTTTTCAAATTTTCCAGATTTCCTTAAAAAAAGACACATCATTTTTCTTATGCCAATGGCTTTTGGTGCATTGATAGACTACATTGGAGAAGATCATGGTTTTCTCGAAATTCTTGAAAGTTCAAGTGCCATTAAAATATGTTTTATAATGCTGGAAATATGAGAACTGTTTACTTTTAGACCAAGACCTGGTTTACACGAGTAGCAAATAAATCATTCTGTCCTAACCTTCCGACGTGGGAAAAAAGAATAGTGAAAAGGGGAAAAAAATTGTGTAGTGACAAAGCATAATCTCGTGATCCAAATAATTATAATGTAATATAACATTGTTTTTGTATATTCATCTCTGTGAAGTCTTGAGTAGCGTTTTGTCGACCATGCACGTGTGCAGGACAATGTAATTGTTAGAAGTTAGAGGGATTTCATCGTGTAGAATCAACTATCTAGTTGCTGAACCATCATTGTCTACATGTTTTGACATATGGCACATAGTTATGCTTGCTCTACTAACGTATTAGTTGTGGGCTCCTGTTTAGTTAGTTCAGTCGATTTATGATCCGTATTTCAAGCTCAAGATTGTCCTTTTGTTTTTGCAGTGCCTTTCCTGTTCTATTCAGCTTAGGCTCGAGGTTAAAATTCTGTTAGTGAACAAGAGGAAAGGTATATATACCATTTTCATCATTCATGTTTAGTTTATATCTTTGGTTTTCTGTAGAAGAAGAAGAAATGAACTTTCAGCTTGAAGAACTTCCAAGTTTCGGTTCAATCCTTTCTCAAAAAGTACTTCCACAATATGTGCTGTAATTGTTTTTACCACATATGAAGAAATTTAGAAAGATGATGGCCCATTACTACAAATTTCATTATCATCACGTTGTTCACTTACTACTTCTCATGACTGGTACATATTCCTAATTCTACGATACTGAATATATATTAGGACACTTGCAGGTTGTGAATTCGTGTTGATGATGGAGAAGCCTCTGAGACGGGGTTGTCTTTGCTTCAAGTTTTCGGATATTTCTTTGGGTGAAGTGACTTCACAGTAAGCTCAAGTAACCCATCGCATTCAACAGCATGACATTTTGATTCTTCAAACTAAATGTATATGCATTCGGTTAGATGGAACACCATCTTCCAGAAACAAACATAGCGTAGAATATACCAATCAATGCAACTTCCCTTCAGAACATGAATTCACCAAAGAACCTCAGGCGTCGTATGCTTAATGTCTGGGGTTATGCATTGCTATATCTTACACTTTGCCTTTATGTCGTGTGTATTTAATGAATGTTTTTCCTCATAGATTCATGCTCTGAGTATGCTAATTTCTGCTTCCCTTCCGGTTATTCCTAGTGTTCTTACCATTCTTCCTGTGAGATACAAGAACAGAACATTGTAGTATGCCTATGTGTGTAGGTTTTATTCTGATGCAATTATGTGATGGAATCAACACTGCAGAGACATAATGCACCATGTAGCAGTCAATTGCTTCTTAGCAAGGAATAATATAATATTTGGTATGTTAGCCTGGATATTACAGGAGAGCTAACAAGTACATAATGTACCCTTCTTCCACAATTATATTCAGCCTAGCTTAAGATACATGCCATGAATGTAAAGTTTTTACAGGCGTTATTTCAAAGCCTCTTTTTTGTACCTCACAAGATAACGTTGGTCTAGTTAGTAGCAACGTGATGTTCAATATTTCATTATAGTTACACAATCAGTTTCTCAGTGTAATAAATTTCCTAGCTGCTGCTTTTAAATTATAGCATGGATATCACGAAAACGTGTTTCACTTTAAATTCTTGAGTATCAGCTCAAGATTAGAAACAAAGTCGAGCTTTATACCATTATACATATATGAGTCTTTAGGAGAGTTGGGCTAAATCAGTAGCACCCATGACTTGCAGTGTTGGGTAGTGATCAACTTGTTCGTTTTTAAAAGTTTGCAGGCAACTTGCTACTAGAAAAATAGATTGTAATTTCAACGTGCAATTTTCACCTTTAAAGTATTAAGGCCCTATTTGATATCATATATTTTCTATGGAAAATGATTTCCATTTTCACTTATTTAGCTTGTTTGATGACCACTTTTTTCTAAGCAACTTGTTTTCCTTCCATCACTCTCACGCGTCTCAATTCTTTGTTTTTTGGGAATTCCTTTTCCCACCATTTTTGGTGGGAAAAGGGAATTCCATCTTTTTATTTTTTTGTTAATGGAAACAAATTTCATAATCAATTGTAAAAATAAAAAAAAAAAATCATTTAATAGACAATTTTCATGTAAAATAAAGTCAAATGAACATTAAACTTTTGATAAAAAAATGATTTTTTAGANTTTTTCCCCCCTTTTTGGTGGGAAAATGCAATTCTATTTTTTTTTTTTTTTTTTTTTTTTTTTTACAATGGAAACAAATTTTATAACCAATTGTGGAAAAAATTATTATTTTAATGGATAATTTTCATGTAAAACAAAGTCAAACGAACACAAAATTTTAAAATTTTTCGGGTGGAAATTTATATCAATCCAACACACTTAATTAACAATTCTCTAGAAAACAATTTTTAGGCAATTAATTTTTTTTGAAATTCATTTTCTTTTCACTTATTTTTCATCATTGCAATCAAACGGGTACTAGCTATAAACAGAAGGGTGAAATTTTGAGTAAAACTAGCGTAGCTGTCGGACCAAAAAACTTGCATCTCTACAATACAAATGGAAAACGGTGGCGGCGCAGAATATTAATGCAGAATTACGTATGGCATTAGCCATCTTTTTTATTTCAAATATTTTTGATTTTATCCATATACTAGAAGCTCGAAGAATATAATTGAAGAAGCAAACTCGTCAACACATCTTTTAATTTTTATTTCTTCATTAACGGTGCAAATTGTTATATTGATTAATTAGAAATTGAACGGATAAGGGTCTTAAAGACATTTCTTGTTGATTAGTAAACCTCAATTCAAAGAAATGAGATCTTCTACTTCTAGGAAGAAAGTGATGAGAATAATTTAAATAAGCCGTGATCTCCTTTCTATCGGGACAAAATAAAATTTTCTCACTGTTGACATGACGAGAATCTTAATTATGATTCTTTGAAACAATCATAAATTCAAAAAATCATAATTAAGGTTTTCTTGTCACATTGAAGTTATTATTCTACTCACTCAGGATAGAAGATCAATTCTATAATTTAAGTAGGCAGACTTTGATATTTTTTTTAACTTGTTTATATTAGACTAGCTTAAATAACTCAAATATTGTGGTCTCAAGAACATGTTGAAAGTACAATTCACATCCTTTAAACAAAAAAAGGATAAATACTTACAAAAATTTGAATTAACATTTCATATGCACATTCACGTTGTTCTTAATTGGTTTGCATTTATCATCAAGAAATTAATATGGCCCAAAAAACAAACAGTAAGCCCATAATAACTTGTATATAAATCATTGTTGACCTTGAAATTTGACAGGACCACACTGTTATTAATTGTAGCACCCCTCCTGTCCATACGTATGTTATTACATTAGACTGCACGTGACAATAGCTCTAGCGAGGTATGATAGTTGCAAGCACCCTGGCTTCAAGTTAGATGGCTGAAAATATTTGGATATGGGAGAGACATTGGACAAAAATGTGTAATAGGAGTTCAAGAAAATTATTGTCCAAAAATTCGTTGGTTGATCAAAAGTTGAGTATTTGACCATAATTAGACAATATTTAAAAGTGCAAAATGGAAACTTTAAGGGGATGTTCTATTCATGTTTCAATTTTATATTTTTAGTTTTGAATTTATTTTGGGTTTTGTGTTTTGAGTGTCTATTTTGAGATTGTTGAAAACGTGTTCATTTTGCAATTTTTAAAAATTGTTTTGAAAAATAAAAAATCTCAAAATGTATTTACTTTCTCCCCTGAATTTTCTCACTCGTCTCCCTCTTCTTCCCTCCTCTCTGTAAACTACCAGAACCCCATTCTCCGTCCACCGTCTTCATCGCGAACCACCACCGATCAACTGCCCACCTCCGGACGACTCAGAAACAACCCTCAATTTAGTCCAAACAACAATTAATCGAAATAAGGGTCACGATCCCATTTCGAGCAGCCCGAAAAAATCTGTGACTTCGACGACGTCCGTTCAACCCATGGTCGCGGACCACTTGGGTCACCTTCCTCTCCCTCTAGTACACCTAACCCAACCATGGGTCAAACCCAATTTCAACCACAGCTCGCTGATTTTATGAGTGAACTTAGGGTTGAAAACTAAAAATTTATGGTGGTGGTGGTGACTATGGTTGGTGACGATGATGGTGGTTGGAGTTGATGATGGTGGTGGCACCGTGTGGTGGCGATTTTTGTGGTGGTAGCTGTGGTTGGTGATCTGACGGTTGTGTGGTGGTGGTTCTGGTGACGACGGTGTTGGTGTTGGTGTTGGTTGGGGTGATGTTGTGGCTATGGTGGTAGATCCGGTGATGGTGGTGGTTGGGATGATGTTGAGGCGACGGCGACTGTTGGTGGTGTTTTGCATGCGGTAATGGTGGTGGTTGGGGGTTACAATAACTGAAAACAACAAAAACTCGTTTTGAAAATTTTGGTCAAATTATAACTAAAAACACCAAAAATGAATTTGTTGTTTTGGGTTTTCTTTTTAAATTTTAAATTTGTTTTCAAAAATGTGTTTTCGAAAATAGGAAAGAGAACGTGTTTTCACCTTTTTGAAAAATTGAAAACAGAAAACGACTTGAAAACGGCAAAGAGAACATGTCCTAAGTTTTTCAACTTAAAATAAGTTTTAAAAAAAAAAACAAAAAGAACAAAAAATTTCTTCATTTTCTTCAGTCACCAGATTAAAAAAAAAAAAAAATCAAATCCAAACCAAAAAACAAAATCAAAATCCAAAGCTAGACAAATTGTATGTCTCACTGCTGAAAAGAAGGCCAAATCAGTGTTTCCAGTTATTGATTTAGAGTTTAAAGTGGGCGACTTGACCATATTTAAAAAGAACAAAATGTTAGTTTACATTGTTCAACTTAAATGAGATTAAAATTTGATTTTTAGTAGATTGTGATAAAAGTTTTTGAAATGTATGGTTGAAAAGTTGTGGGACCCATGAAAGATATGATTAATATTGATTGTTTGACTTTGGTTTGAATTAAAATCAGATTTTAATCCGGACCAAACATGGGCTAAGTAAAAAGAAACAAAAAAAGAAAAAAAAATGAACAAGAAATTTCTTCGTCTTCCTCATTCATTCCATCACCAGAGTAAAAAAAAAAAAATCAAAATTCAAATTTGAACAAAAAGCAAAATAAAAATCCAAAGCTAGGCCAATAGTCTGATGTCTGACAATGTTTGAAAGAAAGCCAAATTAGCGTTCCCAGTTATTGATTTGGAGTTGAAAGTGGATGATTTAGAGTTACAATAATCAATAAATTCCTGTGTTTCGCGTGGGTAGTCACTAACAATTAAAAAAAAATTCAGACAATTGTGTAAGGGACAAACCTCTTGAGACAAAGTCTCAAAAGGGGTGCTTTATTGATGAGAGTTACAACTGAAAATAAACACAATGCCTCTAAGAGAAGCAAGCACATGAGCACTGAAAAAAGGATAAGTAAAGTTAATCTAAAAAATTGAAATTACATATTCTTTGTTTGAGAATGTTTGATTCGGGGTCCTTTTCTCTATACCTATTCTTTTCTTTTATATTCTCATGATGATTTTTTCGTGACAAACCGTTTGGAAACTGCTACCCATTTTCTTCATTGTTGCTAACTTGTCGTGGAACTGCCATCTCTAACTGCTGCCATTACTCTTTGTCGTTCAACTGCATTCAAATGGGCTCCTTAAATCGTGAAATGTGATAATCGGCTCGATAACTGTTTCAATAACTGCTATTTCTGGATGACCATAATATCTCATGAATTAAGATTTCGGGCGACTCGAAGGTTCGAGCGAAAACGAGATTGTCGCTCTGAGCGACAGTGAGACACTCCATTCGTCCAAACTCTAGGCGTCTTGTAGGTTGGGGCGATGATGTTACTGTGTTCGTGGGCTTCCTCTACATTTACCAATAACCTCATTTGGGTATTTATCCTGAACTCTCCAATTGGGCTTCACTCTTTGGGCTATTCAATTTGGGCTGTACTTTTAGTGTGTTAACAATTACCCCCCAATATGGCAGATTTAATACCAAGTATTAACTTATGCCATATTCACCTTGTATTTTCTAGGCTATATTTGAAATTCCCGAGAATTTCAATCGTCATTTCTTTTTATAGCATAAAAATGTGCAACGTTACAAACCCTTATAAACCTAAAAGACGCGCCATTTCATCGCACCACTNATGCTTTTAGTTTCGAAGATTTCCGGAACATCCTTACTAGGCCGTATGTAAATGCAAACTTCCTCGCACCAGCCAATGTTGACCTCAATGAATTCTATTTAGGTCTGTCATTCAATAATGCCGAAGCCATTGAATAGGTGGCGGTAGGCCTGTTGTTTCCTTGCACCGAAGACCTTCCATTTCTGAACTCCTTGCCG